AGAAAGAAACTCAAGATTGCCCTGCCTTGATTTTCTTTAGAATAATAGGAGTGTGACAGAAGCCGGCCTCGGCTGAACAGAGTAAATTAAATTATTAATTTTAATTGTTAATTTTAATTTCACCCTAAATTTGATTTAAATTGTCAATTGAAGGTTATTGGATTTCCTATTTAATCTTTTTTTACCTTTTGTTATATGTGTTTTTATGTTGTACGCCACCCTGAGTCCTTTGGGAGAAGGGTGGCATATACTATAAGTCCAATAAAACCAAAGCAAACCAGAATAAATCCGGTTTTCTAGATTTGTTATTATACTTTTCAACTACGAAGCAGTCGTTCTTATAGCATTTGTTTTATAACCTATTCTAGCTCAAAGATGATACAGTTGCTGATTACATCTTGTTTCTTCTCTTTAGGTTTTTGCTCCAGTCTCTGGAAGATTTGGACAACAGTTTAAGAAAACTTAATTCCCGTTTATTTGTAGTACGAGGGCAGCCAACTGATGTTTTTCCAAGACTCTTTAAAGTAAGATTATAACTACGTCTGAAAATTGTGTTTGGGTAGAATGTAATTTGCTTGTAACATTTTAACAATAAATCTAAGCTCTACTGCTAATACTAATATTTTATTATTTTTTTAATTTGAATTAAAATCATGGTACCTATACCTGTCTCTTTATATATAATAATATGGCTCTTCTATATATGCCAGCTGTTCTCTTTCATGCTTCCATGAATAGAGGTGATTTATGTTTTTTGTGTAGTGGCATTCTAATAAATGCCAGTAATAGGATGGGCTTTCAAGAGAGTATATTAGAATGGGCATTTTTCAAAAAGGAATTATTTTTAAATTTATTTCAAAATAGTAAATACTAAGCATTGAATATTTTATTAAACAGTTGAAAGGATTTTTCTTATTAAATTAAAAGCTCTTATTATAATCTCTCAAATATTCATTCTGCCTAACGTAAGTACTTCAATTTCATTTTAGCACATAGATACAGTTTGCCTATTGTTTTGACTATTCAGTTATGGGTATGTTATTTTTGTGATGGGGCTACGCAAAATCATAAGACAGAAGAAGGAGGAGGACAGAAAAGGAATTAAAATTGCCTAAGTGCATATATACACAGTTGTATAAACTACCAGAGTTTCTTGTCTTAAAAGCCTAGGAGCAAATATTTTTAATAACACCGCAATAGTAATAGATTGGAAGTGAGCCCAGAACTCACTCCCTTCTTCTTTCCTATTATGCTTCTGATGTAGAATTTGAAAATTTTCCAACAGTAATGGGTTGGTTATAAACTATAAATTTGGGTAATGATTAGCTATGATTGCTTAACTCTCTTAAGCTTTCAGGGATGCTGCATACAGTACTTTTCAATGATGAAGGTGTCAGTTGACTTGTGTTTTATTCTCCTTCCATTAGGAAAAAAGCTTCTTGGCTTATTAAGTTACAAAGGATCTAATTCATTCTTATTATAGGGCAAAGTAAAATATAATAGAGTTTATAGGGATGTTCTGGATAATTGCTCCCATCAAACTAGCTAGCATTACATATCATAGGGATTTAAGATCTCTAGAGAAACCATATTGCCTCTTTCAGTGGTAAACTAATTCAGATCCTTTCTGTGGCATGTTATATCTGAAAATAGGTGTGGGTGTCATATGTACTGTAAATCCTTGATTTAATGGACTATGAGAGGAAGCGGTGTCTGTTAAAGACTGAACATTTATTAAATCTGAGTGGGCTTTTACACATGTGGAAAATGGGAATCGGATTTTACACAAGTATATTGTAAACTTTGTGCATTTTATACATTACATGCATGCATGGATGGCAAAAGGGAGATTTTACATATTAAAAGAGTTTATGTAAGATTTATACATGCATAAAATGGTAAGTGAAATGTATGCAAATATAATATGGTGCATGGCATTTAATGTAGGACAGAGTCATATATCATGGGGAAAATCTATGTGGTTGATCAGAACCATAAGTGTATGGACAGATTCTGTCTGTTGGATCCAAAGTCTGTTGAATTGATATCTTTCAAATTAAATTAAATTTGCAAAAATAGAAAAATTGGCTCTTTTAACTTTTTCCTGAAAATACTTCTTCCTTCTAGCCTTTCTCTATATAATAAATGGAGTTCATTGGAATTTAGGATTTCATTTTAACCGCTGTTGCGTCTCCGTTTTTCAAATTTTATCACTGGTGTTCATTCTTATAGTGCAAACTTGCTATGCTATTTCTTATTCTTAATATACTTGGGGTGGTGGGGAATAGGATAGGATTAAGCCATTCAGATTAATTTCAATATTTACCCTGACCTTAGTATTTTTGGTTCCAGTTTTGCTTTTTTATGTTTTGTCTTACAGAGTTTTCTTATTAGCCCAGCAGGAAATTTAAGTTAACATTGTGACATACTGTATGTACTCCAATTATTTTGGTTAGGCTTTTTTTCAAATTTGTTCCAGAAATATTCCCTCTTTTGTTAAATGCCAGTTCAAAATTACTTAACTTTAATTCTGACTGAGATTATAAAAGGTTATTTTGGTCCCCAGTAATAGAAAAAGGAGCTTTAATGATGCCATTTGTTTGATTAAGAAACATGTAAATGAGTGGGTTAAAGATTTAGATCATTCTTTTTTTTCTTACACATTGACTAACATTTTAACTTTCAGTAAATGCACAGTTCTTGTACTGAATTGTATCTATGGACTAGATACAATGTGAAATATCCAGAACACTTAAAATATTATCTTCCATGCATGCTTATCTATTTATATTATATGAAGGAATTGAACGAAGTTTAATTACATTTTGCCTCCCAGCCCTTTCCCTTGTATCCTTCCTTGCTTCCTGCAAGGATGTAAAAGTGTTAATTAGAAGGCAACATACATCCCAACTGTTCCTCATCTATGATTGCAGCTGTTTAATCAAATGTGTGTACTTACTTCACAGAGCTTCTTGAGGGCAAATGTATGTATGCATCACTATAAAACGTATTTCCATTGCTTCGTCTCTGCATGAGTCAAAGCTATGTTCCTGTTGATTCTTTAGAGTATTTGTGTAGATTAAAGGCATGCAGAGCTGAGAAGGTGAAGATATTAGTATATATTTTAAAAGTGTGGAGAGTTTTTTTTCCCTGTAGATAAAAAGTAAAGCCCTACATGTACTTAACTGGTTGGGGTAATGTTTTTGAGCACTGATATGCTCCAAAAAGCTAGAAGGGGCTGTAAATGTTCTTGAAATCTTTTATCTTGCTTTTGAATGTTCTAGAACAGTGTTTCTCAGCCTTGTAAATCAATACTGTATAGTTAATGCTTTAGAGTAGTGTTTCTCAGACTTGGCAACTTTAAGATGTGTGATTTCTAACTCCCACCCAAGCTGGGTAGGGAATTCTGGGAGTTGAAGTCCACACAACTTAAAATTGCCAAGACTGAGAAACACTACTCTACATCAGTGGTCCTCAACGTTTTCTTCATCACGGACCCCCTTTAAATACCTTTTGTGGCCGCAGATCATGGCCTTGGATCCCAAGACTTAATTCAAGATTTAAATCATAACATTTCTTCAAGTCTTTTTGGATCCCCTGTGACGACATTGCGGACCACAGGTTTGAGAATCACTGCTCTAAATCATTGACTATACAATATTGATTTTCTTCACACTATATACAGTATGTGCAAAGAATGAGTCATGTAAATAGAAAGGAACTGCTGAGAACTAAAATTAACTTCAGTCTATCACATTTGATTCAAGCTGCAATTTTCAAGTTGGCTTTTGGTGCAGGTTGACATAAATGCATTAGCAATAGCAATAGCAATAGCAGTAGACTTATATACCGCTTCATAGGCCTTTCAGGCCTCTCTAAGCGGTTTACAGAGAGTCAGCATATTGCCCCCAACAATCTGGGTCCTCATTTTACCCACCTCGGAAGGATGGAAGGCTGAGTCAACCCTGAGCCGGTGAGATTTGAACCGCTGACCTGCTGATCTAGCAGTAGCCTGCAGTGCTGCATTTAACCACTGCGCCACCTTGGCTCCTACAGAACAGAAAGCATTCTTCATTTCCAAAGCATCCCAGCCTGGAATGCAAAGACAGGAATAATTTTAACAAGTCAGTATACTGGACAAACATAATCCAGACAGTTGTTATCTCAGCTTTCAGTTACAAAAGTGGATCTAAGACTATCCTTCTTTATGTGTACTCTTTAGATGTAATCATCTAAAAATAATCAAATTATCTCTCATTTAGGTACCCTCTAGTTACTCTTGTTTTGAAGGATCTCATCTTGTTTGACTGCCCCTTATCTGGCTCTGCTAAGGCAGAGGTCCAATATCAGCACAGTCTCACCTGACTCTTACAGGAAGAAATAGAACTGAATGTATGTAATTAATCTACTTATCATGCCTCAGTTGAACTTCTTTGTGATTTTACCTGGTGACTTCATAAATAGCATGGGGGATGGAATGGAAACTTATATCACTCTATGGCTCAGCGCTATAGGATCAACTCATTAAGTAGGACAACATCCACTTAATACCATGCTTCCAACTTCAGCCCAGAGAAATCCAAAAAGATATCTTGGTTGAAATAAAAAGGTAGACGATTGATAAAAAATCGATAAGGTTGGATTTTCTTTGTCCATCTCCCAAAGTGCTCCTCCATTTTAGCAGAGATTATTTTAATCCAACCATTCTTCTAAAAACAGGAAACTGGCCAAGCATCAGTAGAAGAAATTAAACAGGTGATCTTCATTTTAGAAATGCTGACGAGATAGTGTCTGATGAGCCTTCTGTGTCTTGTTGCTTGCTACATTTCAGAGATAGGCAAATCACTGATACTTTAGATATTGTTATATGCATTTGTCAGCCAGCATAGCCAGCATTCAAGGATAATAAGAAATGGAATAGAGCTCCTCTCTAGAAAACCACATGTTGATTATCTTTACTTGTTGGTGCAAAGAACTGCATTAACATTACTTATTTATTTGTTTGTTTGTTTGTTTATATTATTTATATTATTTATTTATTTATTTATTGGATTTCTGTGACTGACTAATCTCACTCCTCTTACCAATACAGAAACTCTGGGCAGCTTACAATTAATAAAAATTTTAAAGTGCAAAAAACAAAGTAGAATTAAAAGTTAAAAATTAAAATTAAAAACCAAGATGATAGAACAGCCTGGAAGACAATCCTCTCTATCTTGTCAGCTACCCACAACGTAATGGGCTTCTATCAGGGCCCAGGCCAAGCAGCTGCTATTATTTGATAATAGCTATATTACTTACATGTAAATAAGATGAACTTATAAAGAGGAACCTAATAAACTACTACCATGGATTTTTGTTGGTAAGCTTAAAACAGGAATCTTAAAGTAATTGTTTAGAAATAGAAGACAATGTCTTCTTTTTTTCCCCTCAGTGTATACAGAAAGCTAAAAGACTCCATGGTTATGGGGAGTTGACAGCCTCAGAGATGCTTTCATGCTCTATAGTGGAAACTATCTATTACAGCAGTGGTCTCCAACTTGGCAACTTTAAGACCTGTGGACTTCAACTCCCAGAGTTCCTCAGCCATCTGGGAGTTGAAGTCCACAAGTCTTAAAGTTGCCAAGATTGGAGACCACTGTATTACAGTACTGGAAGCATCCTTTGGGAGCGTTTAATGGTTTAAGGAGGCCGTTTTCTTAAACTTCCCCCATAATTTTGCTTTTTATTTGTGAGTAGGCAGGGTCATCATTATATGATTCAACTTTCCTCAACCATTGATTTAATAAGCTCACATACACTAACTGAATTTATTTTCTTTTAGTCAGGGGTGTAGAGTGGAGTCTCTACTGTCTGTTAACCCTCTTATGTTTGGGCTGGTGTGTGGAGCTTAAATACTTCATCAATAGCCCTGGATTCATTTAAAAATTAAAGCTTCTGGCTTGCCTTTAAGAGTTAACATGGACTGTGTTAGTGATACTGGAAAGACACCTGTCCCCATCATCAATCTGCACCAGGTAGATCAGAGACAGACAAGCTGGTATCTTTCAGATGTTCCAGATATTACCTATCAGCTGAAGCCAGCATGGCTAGAGACAGTGTATTGTGGAACCTGTAGTACAAAAAGGTAGCAGGTTGTTTAACCGTGAGGAATGTATGTGTTTGAACTGAGTTGGGCTGAACTGTGTTGTGCTGGGGCAAATTATTCTTTTAAAAAGTTATTTAACATTCTAATATTCTACATACCTATACATGTGTACAGGTCTTTAGTATTCAGTATGAGCTTGTAAGCTGTTGTATCAGGCAATGAATGCAGTATTCTAGAATGTTGTTACTCCTATACTTCCAAGATTCCATATATCTTGCAAACTTGGTCATTTTAATTTATTGACTTCTACATATTTATGGAAGTGATATTTACTATCACTACATTCATTTAAATAGGCACTTTTGCTTCAAAATGAAGTTTATTCTTAGAGAGAATGCTAAACATCAATATTCACCATTTCTTTAAACTGACTGCACGCATTAAGATCTCAGGTCTTTATAAAACTCCCTAAAGTCTTTGGTGCATCTCTCAGGCTTCTGTTTAAGTTGCTGTTAAACTTTAATGTTCAATATGACATGAGAAATTGATGCAAGAGGAATAACCCGAGAAAGGTACTCAGAAATGTTTAACAGGTTTACAGTATATCACCAGAGGAATTGTCTAGAATGCATAAAAGTGCTTCAAATTTATATTGGAAATATGAACAAGAAGAAGGAAAAAGAAGATATTTGGTGGGCATGTGAAAAAGCTAGAAAATTTTGCATTCAAATAAATCTACTGATTTAGAGGATTTTAAAGATTGATAACGAATTGATATCTTTCTTTTGTGATGGACAAACGGTTGGGGAAAAGTCATTGTACTTTGTTTTTACACATGATAATTTCAGTGAGATTATTGTATGTACAAAGATTCAGCAGTACTCACAATGGAGAAATGATTGTTGAAGATGAAGGAATCTGCTGATGGCTAAATCAACTTCTCTGATTAAAGAAAAATCAATATCTATGTTTATGGCTAATTGGAAACCCCTTATGGACATTTTGCATTCATTTCAGAAAAAAATGAACTTATGATTTATGGTTTTGATTATTAAACATCTAAATCTTTATAGATGATCATAGAAAGAAGAATAAATATATAATTGTACTTATAACTGCTGCAAAGATTATTGGAAGCTACTTCTTTGTATCTTTTTTCATTCTTTTGTACTTTACTTTTTTCCTCTTTCTTGCACTTTTAGATTTCTCTTTGATCGTTTTCTTTTTCTTACTTTATATACGTTTGCATTAGTTTTTATTTTCCTTTTTAAAACTCTTTAATACAAATTATAAAAAAGAAACAAAGAGAGTGTCATGGGAGAATTTTGAAATACTATTTGCAAATCTTTAGAAAAGGATTTTTTCCCTTGTTTTACGGTTGGATTTTTGTCATTATTTTGTTTTGAATATTACTACCACATTTAAACGGTCTGTTTTTGTATTTATCTAATATTTTCTGCTTTTTTTTTTTTACAGGAATGGGGGGTGACCCATCTCACTTTTGAATATGACTCAGAGCCTTTTGGAAAAGAGAGAGATGCAGCTATAGTGAAATTGGCTAAGGAAGCAGGAGTAGAAGTGACAACAGAGAATTCACACACCCTTTATGACCTAGATAGGTAAGATACCAGTCTCTTTATATGTACGTCTAAGAGGAAGACAAAACAAAGCTGAGGATTGATACAGGAGATAACTTGGGAGATTATTTTTTTGTAAAATGGGTCAAGGTTTCATTTTCTCTATTATGGCCCTATAGACACAGAAGTTACCAGTTTATATATATAGCAAACCCCCGTGTTCTGAGAAAGAGGGGAGAAGAATAAGGAGAAATTAATTCTATATTTATAAAATGCAAACTAAGTCTATTATGTCTACAAATACAAGTGCTATAAGTTAAACCTACTGCAAATTTGCAATGTACTAAAGTCCAGGCATCTACTGTTGCTATTGGGGAAAGATGCCTTTTCTATTAAAGAATAGTGGATGTTGAAGTGAAATAGGATTGCAAAGGGCCTCCCGCCGTGTTCAATCTGATCCATCCTAAAGCATTCTTCAGTAAACTGCAGTTAATGTTCCATATCCTGTACGTCATAGCTGTCAACTCCCTAGTAAACCAAAGGTTTAATCGGCTCAGTTTGGGCCATCTCTGGGTCAGTATCCAAGGTATTAATAGTGTCATCAATAGACACTATTGATGGGAAACGTGGGAAAATCTCTCCATGTGTTCAGGAAAACATCCATATCCATCAGATGCCAGGAATTGACCTTTTAAATCAATTTTCCAGACCTGTAGTTCAGAGGTACTATTCAGCCAGTTCTGACAGGTTCTGGAGAACTGGTAGCAGAAAATTTGAGTAGAGAACCTGCAAATAGGTTGGCCCCAGCCCTGCTGCTTCCCAGCCTCCCAGCTGATCTTCCTTTGTTGCCCTGAACAGGAGAACAGAGCTGGAAAGCAGGTTAGTGGAGTGGGGAGGGAATGGGGATTTTGCAGTATCCTTCCCCCCGATAAGCCCACAAAGCCACGTCCACAAATCCACACCCACAAAGCCACACCACACCCATAAAGCCATGCTCACAGAACTGGTAGTTAAAAATTTTGAATCCCACCACTGCTGCAGTTTATATAGAGAGTGAACTGTCCATAGAAGTAGAGTCATATGAAACTCCTCAGTTTCCAAAGCACTAGCTCCTCTTGAATAGAATACTAAATCCAACATATGCTCTATTGAATGCATGAGACCACATATTAGTCATGTCAAGTCCAGTTAGGATGTGCAATCCTGAGTCATTCCTGACTGGAGAGCCTTACCTTCTTGGGGTTGAAAACCCCAAGAAAAAGGAGCTCAAATTAATCCAGATATCATGCTGCAAATCATTCAAACTAGCTCATGAAGAAAGATAGCAGGATCTATGGTGGTAGATAGCATGGTTTGTGGTGTATGAAACATACATCTATATTGTCTTGGCCATCCGGATGTAGCAGTTTGCACTTAAAATTGCAGGCTATTGGATAGAGTGGCTGGTCCACAAGATGAAATTTCTGTAGGCCATGGCTTTTCTACCTCCCTGACTTTAATTCCAGCCTGCTCTATGTGAACAGTCTACTGGAACACAAACACCTCTATAGTTCAATAAGAAGATATATGAAGTAATGTTGTTGCCTGTGCCAGTTTTCAAACTTGAAATGCGTGTGGAAAAAAGGCAGAAGTAATCCAGCAATTAGATGCATTATAGAAGAATGGAGAATTGGATTGGAGCAAAGAGCCAAGCCCAGCCTTTTGCATCAGAAGATATCAGAAGATAAGACTTTATGGAGCAGAGCTAGCAGCAGCATGTTCAGTTATGCTCTGCTCCCAATATTTTCATTTCTCAGGGACAGGAGACTGGCACAAACAAAGGATGAGGGGCAGCTCCAGCTGGTGCTCATTTGGCTTGAATCTACCACCATCACCCAACCTTGGGAATGATGTGCACTGAATAAATCTGTAGGAACGCCTCAGGTCTTGCCCAATGAGAGGCCAGAATTGAAACAGAACTGATCCTGTCAGCATTCTTGCAGAATCATTGGCAGGATCAAGCTTGTGCTGTCTGGCTAGAGAGGTAAGTTTTCCAGAAATTTAGAAGCAGCATAAAGTCAGAAATTTGTAGAATTTGCTGAATAAACATAGCAATACCTCCTTCTGTTTTTTCCCCCCACAACAATACCACACTGGTGAGACCACACTTAAAATACTGCATCCAGCTCTGATCATCACGATACAAAAAAGATGTTGGGAGCCTGGAAAGTGTGCCGAGAAGAGCAATAATGATATAAAGGCTCTGAGGGCTAAATAAATGGTTGAGGGAGCTAGATATGTCTAGGCCTCGGATGGCGAATCTATGGCATGTATGCCAGAGGTGGCATGCAGGGTCCTCTCTGTGGATACGTGCGCCATCACCAGCTGCTCTTTTGCGCATGCATGCTGGGCAGCTGTTCTTCATGTGCACCAGAAGAACCGGAAAACCAAAGACCAGCTGGCTGGTGTGCATGCACATGCAGACCACTTGGTCTTCAGGTTTCCGGTGCTCTGGTGCGTGCATGCGCACCGGCCAGCTGGTGCTTGGGTTTCCAGCGCTCTGGCATGTATGTGCGCTTGTGCTTGCACGCACTCTGATTTGGGCACTTGGGAGATCCAATCTAGAAGTAAGGAGATATTTTCTGACAGTGAGAACAAACAATGGAATATTTTGCTTCCTGGAATTGTGGGTGTGCCATCACTGGAGGTGTTCAAAAATAGACTGGACAACCATTTGGGATGTTATAAAACTCCTGCCTTGAGCAGAAAGTTGGACTATAAGATCTACAAGGTCTCTTCCAGTCCTATGATTCTATGTTCTAAAATACTTCAATGTCCAGTGGGACCTCCGGTCATGACCGTAATCTGTTCCAGGACTTTGATCGGCACCCGATTTCATCGTGATCAGAAGGAAGACTGACTGTGCATGCATGTGCACACAAAAAAGGCACGGAAGGGGAAATCTCTGCAGCAGGGGAAATCGCTGTGGCTGTGTTTGATTGCCACCAGAGGATGTGTTCGTGAACAGAGTAAAACATTTAGTGGATTTTTGGGTCGGCACCCGATTTGGTCGTGGGTAGAAGTGTTCGTGACCTGAGGTCTCACTGTAGACTGGGCTAAGGGAGAATGACTGGCACAGTCAGCTAGCAAGCTTCCATTGCAGAGGGTGGATCAGAATCCCTCTCCTTGTCTAACATCTTAACACTACGCCATAAACCTTATTGTAACATCATACAAATGTTACAAACAACATTGCAAACTGCTGAATTGTTGAGGAATTAGAACATCTCCTGATTTCTGTCTGTTTAGGAAAAGCAGTCAGGCAAAGAATTAACACTGAAAACAGAAAAAAACCAACCCTACTTTGCATGAAGGTCTCCACTTATTCAAACAGTAAGGCAGAGTATGCATTTTCAGGAGGAAATGGTTGAGAAAAAGTGGGAGAAAGATGTATATTTTAGCACATTGAGACAGACTTCACTGTTTATATATTAGTTTATTTCTTGATTTCATGGGTTGAAAACAGATTCCTTCACCATTGTTCTAAGTATCATTCAAAATGAAGGTTTAAGGAAGCACTTTTTATTTTTCAGGGGAAAATAAAAATGCAAATTTTTCTTTCTATTTCTTAATTATTTTTAGTTTCTTTTTTCAAGCTTTCCCATCTCTGATTGGAAGTAATGGATAGGGAAGGATTAATCTAGAGAGCAAGATCCTCAATTGATGCAGATTAGGCTTGAAATGATCTATTTTGTGCAATTAAAGAGATTATTTTTTTTTGCAGACCACAATACTAAAATTGTGCAGGGCTGTAAGCCATCTCATAGTTGATCACACTTCTGGCTTATAAAGTATTGCTGTCTAAATATTGGATTCCCTCCAAGATGGTGTGGGAAGTTATCATCTAGCCCTCTCCCAGAAAAATGAAATATCCTAGGAAATATTGAAAAGGCAGAATATTTCTCTGGATATGAAAA